CTGTTGACGTCAGCAGCCTTCGAAGTACTTGAAGATGTCGCCCATGCAGACCATCGCCAATACCAGGTATGTGCCCTCACATCATCATCATCATCATCATCATCCTTCTCTCTCTCTCTCCCTTGTCTTACTCCCACGTCTTCCCTCTTGAAACCCGAAGACCACCCCTGCGCCTCACTGTACATCCAAGCCCGCCAGCTATGGAGGCTGGGCTATGGGGCTGCCCTCAGCAGCGCCCTCCTCCTTGCACTTCACCTCTCAGCGCTAGCAGCAGCCCACGAGCTTCAGCTCCAGCAGCGCTGCTGCCAACATGTGAGTGCCCGAATGAATGCCCAGGCAGCGAGCTCCTTCCTATATGGAAAGAGCCTGCCTCATTCGGCAGTCTGGCTGGACTGGCCTGGGCCCAGAAGCTTCCGGTAGGCCCCAGGATGCTGTGCCTATCTTGCAGCTACTGGGCCTTATTTGGTTGGGCCTCCCAACTGTCTGTGTATATGGCTGCCATTCTTGTCCAGGGCCTGCATCATTTTGGAAAGGCCTGGAAGGCCGTCGAAAATCTGGCTGCTCAGCCTGTGTTTTCCTCAACCAACTGGCGCGACGAAACTGCCTGGACCCCAAATACGAAATTGAAGGCCGAGGGCCTTTCGTGATTTGTTAGGCCCACCTTCACTTAGGGCGGGCACAGATGCAACAGGGGGCCCTTAGGCCTGCCGAGGACCCAGATCCTCGCAGGGGGTTATAGGGGGAGGTATAGGGGGGTTACATGGGGGTTATAAGGGGGTGTAGGGGGTAAAGGGGGGGGGTATGAGGGTGTTAGGTGGTGGTATAGGGGGGTTATGTATGGGGGTGTTGGGGGGGGCTATGGGGGTGTGGATGGGGTTTGTTTGGGGTTCTGGACCTGATATAAACTCCGACAAAACAGTTTGTCACAGCCCCTCGTTTGTTGTCCTCTTCTCTCTCTCTGCCTACGGTTTACCGGGCAGTTCTATTTGTGACGATATATATTATATATCATACTTGCGGCGCACCGGCACTGTGCGCTGCGCAGTGCGCTGTGTGCGGACCCAGGGTGTGCGCACAGCGGCAGTGCCGCGCATCTGGTTCGCAGTGCGCGCTGCGCTGCACACGTCTGGTGTGCTGCGCGCATGTGCGCAATGTATATTTTCATGTTCTAGCGGTAGATTCATTTGATTTTGTTCTCTCTCTCTCTCTCTCTCTCTCTCTCTCTCTCTCTCTCTCTCTCTCTCTCTCTCCCCCCTCCCGACTTCTTCC